AAGAAAAGAAAGGAAGAAAAGAAAAGAAAGGAAAAGAAAAAAAAGGAAAGAAAAGAAAAGGAAAGAAAAGAAAAGGAAGGAATTTATTTGGAGCCTTTTTTGGGAGCCTGATTTAATTTGGGAATTTTCATAAATTCTGGGATTCCCATAATCCACAATTATGGCTCCCTGATATGTGAATATTTTTAAATCGACAGCTGACTTAAACTACTCCCTCTTAGCCGAGTCTACTACTCGACTAAGGGAGTGGGGGACTCGTGATGGGGTTATGGGACTAGGCCCAGAGCCTAATCGGCCCAGGCCCCGAACTTGGACCAGCGGGCCCAAGCCCAACAACCCAGAGCTCGAGTCAGCCCAACCAACCAGGGCAATCAAGGAGCGGAAGCCCAAGAGAGCCTGTCGACCAGCCCAGTGGGGAGCCTGCCTTCCAGCCCAGTGGGGAGCCCGCCTTGCAGCATAGCCAGGAGCCTGCCGACCACCAGCCCAGCTGGGAGCCTGCAGTCCAGCCCAACTGGGAGCCTGCGGTCCAGCCTACCTGGGAGCCTGCCTTCCAGCCCAGTGGGGAGCCTACCTTCCAGCCTAGCCAGGAGCCTGCCGACCACCAGCCCAGCTGGGAGCCTGCGATCCAGCCCAACTAGAAGTCTGCGATCCAGCCTACCCGGGAGCCTGCCTTCCAGCCTACCCGGGAACCTGCCTCCAGCCCGGTCAGAAGCCTTCCTCCAGCCTAGCGGGAAGCCCACCATCCAGTCCAGCAGGAGGGAGCTCAAGCGTCCAGCCAGCCAGCCAGGCTGACCTGCCAACCAAGAAGAGTAACGGCCAACAATTAATGCGCGACTTAATTATGTGTTTAATTCTGTATTAATGTTGTAATTAATTTAGTCATTATTATGTTCGGCAGTTACCATTTGTAATCGCCTATAAAAGGCAATTCGAATTTCAAATACAGATATGCTATTTCTGGCTAACTTTCCATATTCGTACTTTCCTAATTCTTGCTTGAGTGTCGTACGCATTTTTCCTAAAAGCCTACGAGCGTCCTATTTTGGACCAACAAAGATATTCTGAATTTCTTGAAATTAATGAAATTGTCATTTCAAGCGGTTAAATTTGCTCAAATATGAAAGAATGAAATTTAAGTATATTTTCTTTATTAATGAAAAAGTAAAAAAAATACTCCGTATGAAAATAGCTAAAAGGGTTTCTAAAGTAACTTTAATCAATTTAGTAAAAAAGTAATTCCATCATTACTTAGATCCTATTTAGTAACTCATATTTTCATCTTAATTATCAATTAATTTTGTGTAGGGTTTCTAAAATAACTTTTGATCTTACCCACAGTCCGCAGAATTAATTAAAGTTACTTGTATATTGTTATTTAATCGATTTAATAAAATATATTTTATATATAAATTTCTCATTGTACGTTCAGTTCAATAGATTCAACTATTTTAACCGATTCAACCAACATTTCATCAATTTCACCAGATTGAATTGATTTAGTAGTCAATTTCAATATTATCAAACAAACTCTTATTTTGATCATTATAGCATACCCATTCGCAGTGACGGAGCTAGAGAAACATGTGAGAAAAAAGGATGACACCCCATCCCTGAGGGCCCCCCAACCTCGACCGGACGGTACGTTGGGAGGATGTAAAATGGACTATAATCCCAATCTGACAGATAGAGAGTGGCGCTTTGTGTCCGGTACTTGCAGAGGCCCTATGCATTTTTAACATAATAACCCTTCATCACAGTTGTCAGGATGCTATTAATTAATTAATTAGATGAGTTAAATTACTGTATTAATATATTCCATCCGGTCGTAAATAAACTTCATACTGTGACTTTACGATTTTTAAAAAAGTGGTATTTTAACTTTTGACTTTCCCATCATGCCCCTACAAAAAAGGATAAAGTGTAGTATGAGAGAGAAAATGGATGTAAAGTAGGTAATAAAGTAAGGGTATAGGAGTAATTTTATTTTAAACACTTGTCAAAAATACAAATGTGAAGTTTATTTTGGACTTACCCAAAAAGAAAAGTGTGAAATTTATTTAGGAGCTAAGGGGGTATGTTTCATGTATTACAAACTTCACACGGTTAATTTAACAAAACGAATAAACCGGGCTGGCCGATGGGTATGGTATGTTTAATTTGTAGGAAATATTTTCTATCTACGATACCATAATACAAATGAAATAAACAAACGCACAATGGGTGCGCATAGGCCCCACCCACGAATATTTTGCGGCTTTAGTTTTTAGCAAAGCCGGTGTACTTAATAATTACTGTAATGCGATAATATGTACTTCATCCGTTCTAGAATTATCTTCATACTTTCCTTTTTGATTCGTCCCAAATTTATTTCATCTTTTCTTTTTTGATAAAGAATTTGTGGTTGACAACCATTCTTACACGTTTCTCTGCATAATTTTCCACCACACATTTTTTACTATCTTGAAACATGTGTCAGTAAGGAGCATATACGGAGTACTAGCTAGGGTTTGGCTTACGCGTAGCTAGCTAGCCCGAACCACTGGGCCCGCGCATCACTACCGTTGCTTTGCTAGGGTTTCTATGTCGGCGGGGTCGAGGTGATGATGATTCATGACTTCGCTGGCACCGTCCTCTCCTTTGCCCTCATGCATTTTTCATTTTGCCTTTAATTTATTTATTTAATTAATTTTCTTGGCTGTACGTACCATATTTTCTAAAACATCCATCATCCCATGTATTTTCCAAAGCATCCATGATCCATATTCACAATGCTTTTAATCATTTAATATATATGTGTGTGTGTGCATATATTTTATAAATTTTATATTTTTATTAAATTATTTCAATTTTTTTTTCATATTTAAAATAATTTTGTATTAAAAATTATCATTAATCAAAGTTGGTATCTCCAAAAAAATCAAAATTTGTGGTCATTAATTAAGAAAAGTCAATTTGTCGAATCTTTTCAGAATGAAAACTACAAAGTTATTTTTATCTTGTAGCTCCGTATGCTCTTTTATTTTTTTTCTATCCTCCTCCTTCTCCCCCTTCCCCTCCCCCTCCCCTCCCCCTCCTCCTCCTCCTCACGGATACGAGTATCGGAAGTATCCACATTTTTATAAATAAGTCTATTAAATACTTTTATTAAATTACGAATATAGATCCAATATGTACATGACCGCGTATTAGTGAGTATCGGTAACGGATACGTATCGAATACGCGGATACAACATCGGAGTGAGGAATCGTTGCACCATAGCTCACAAGTACGTCAAAAGTGTGTGTATGCTCTTCTCAATTTTCATACGAATTATTCTCGAAATTGATTTCCTCTTATGAGAATTCATAACAATTGTAGATCATAGACGACATAAGTTAAATTAAAAGTTCGAATAAAAATCAACCGACGACATGCAGTGTGTCACTGTGTCTGTGTGTAAGAGATCAAATGAGAAAAAAAATTACCGTAATGCCACCGCGCGTGTCTATTTAATACGTACTCCGTATATGCTTAATTTGACAAAAGTTAAAATGTGCTACACAAGAGCTCTATTGTGCACGACATTGATTTAAATGTGAGTGTTCTCACGTTAAACATCATTCTCATTTGGAACCACATGTATGTATGTATGTATGTATGTATGTATGTATGTATGTATGTATGTATGTATGTATGTATGTATAGAGAGAGAGAAATGATCTTGTCGAGCACTCCTCCGTCCAAACACCGTACGAACACCGCCGTTTGGGGAGGTTCTCTGTGGATTTTAATGATGATTTTTTTTTGAGCATGTTCCTCATAAAGTCTAGTTTATCCAACTAAATTTCAGCTAAAAATTCGATCGGGAAGTCAGTCAAATAATTTGTTGAAATTAACTGCGTTTTTCTATGTACAATTTGGCGTAGTTAATTTCAACAAATTATTTGACTGCCTTCCCGATCGAATTTTGAGTTGAATTTTTATATGGATAAACTAGACTTGATGAGGAACATGCTCAAAAAAAATTCATCAAACAATTCCTCCGGGAACCACCCCAAACGGCGGTGTTCGGATGGCGTTCGGACAGAAAAGTGCTGGACAGGGGCACTTCTCTTATAGAGAAATGATCATGTCCAGCACTCCCCGTTGGAGGGTTCTCATAGCAAAACAACACGGTTATTTAGACAATAATTAAATTAAGTACTTCAAGTATATTTTAAGAAATAATTTTAATAAGTATATATTATAATGTAGTTAGTATTCGTATATAACTGTGATGTTATAAATGTATTATATTTAATATTTAATGAATAATTTGTCACTTAAGATTGTTAATTATTTCCGAAAATGGAAATAGGAACCTTTATATGGCATGGGACGTCCAAAACAGAAAAGTGGGAACCTTCTAATGGGACAGAGGGAGTATATATACATTATATATATTATATATAATACACACACACGGAGCGATGTTCAAATACGAAGAAGCCTTTAGGTGAGAACTGAGAATGAATCTCAGCCGTTGGATTCGATTATTTTGCAGTAAAAACACTTTATATTACACTAAAACTTGCAACCTAGCTTGTTGGCATTTTCTGAAAAATTCGTATTACAGTTGTCTAGTGCAACATGAAGCTGTTTTCGTGCAACATGAAATAATTTTAGTGCAACACTGCAAAATTTAAATCTTACTGCAACATGAAGCTATTTTTAGTGCAATATCGTAAATTTAATGGTTGAGATTCATTCTCATTTCTCACATTACACTACTAGAATTTTTCTTTATTGTTGCTACCTAATTGCTGCGGGCGTTGGTAATGCGCAACAAATACGCCAAAATTGAGCAATGCATCAATACTGAACTGTTGGTATAGGGAATTACAGCTGTTTTTCTCATGCAGATTCTATTTTTGTAGAATCTGTTCCATCTTGGTGAGGATCCGGTGACTAAGAACCACTTTTTATCTGCCGTCGCAACTCGATTTAGAGACTTCAAGTCTAAATTAGTTTCTGGATGGATCACCTGTGTTAGACAGAGAACTAAAATTGAAGATGGGAAGCTTCCACCACAGATTTGGCATCACATCACGCCACAAATTTGGGAAGAGTTTAAGCAACGAAAGACTACTCCAGAAGCTGTGGTATATATCAAATCATTTATCAACTAATTGTATAATTAATGTACCAGTGATGCAACACTCACATGTTTCCACTTGGCGTTATGCAGTCATTGAGTAAAGATTGCAAATGGCTGCATTCGATGATAACATCTCGTCGTAGTAATGATCCTATTCTTTTGACTTTAAATGCACGCTTGTTCCACTACGAATCAGATGATTGCGGTGCTTTACTTACTAACGACGACATCGCTCAGTTTCTATCCGGTGCAATGTTGAATATTTCCATTATTCAAGACTCCATGAAGTATGAATTTCAAACTTTTTTACATATTTATTATCTTTATTATTTTTTATTTTCTAATTGAAAAGCTTTCACAGAGCAATGCAGGATTACATAGAGGGTTTGGACACAAATTCGTGACATCAGCCTGGATGGATGTGCGGCCCTGATGCAATATCCACGACATCATGCGAATATAGCCTTGAAGGTGTCAGAACTTACCTGGAAAGAGATATGACCGAGTTGCTGCATGATGGAAAAATTTTCATTCTTGCTCCTTATTATGAAAAGTATGTAGATCTTTATACTTTATAATCTTTCTCTATGAATTGTCATAATTTACTTGATAATGTGCATTATAATATACTTTTGTATAGTTATCATTGGGTGCTACTTGTGATTTGGATTCCTCGCGGTACTATCTTTATTTTCGATTCACTTCGGAGCACTACATACAATGCGCCGTTTGTTAATCACATCATTGTTTAGCAGGTTAGTTTTTAGAATGTTTATGTTGTCATTCATAGATGTATAGGCTTTTTATGGTTTATGAATTATGAAAAGATTATTATTGAATTATCTTGTACTACGTATTATTTCTGTAATCATTTTTTTAACTAAAGTGTCTTCAGAAACATGCCCAATGATGGTGAAAGTAGAAAGAAAGTGATTTGGAAACAAATGAAAGTGCGTACATTTTTTTCCAATAAGTGTGTAACTATGTTTCTCTATATATGTGAATTGATACTAATGTGTATAAAATGTCAATATGTATATGTATTAGTGTGCAAAACAAACAGGCAGTTTGGAGTGTGGATTCTACGTGATGAAATTCATATACGACGCCGTTAAATATATCACGAGTGGTCAAGATATGGAACAAGTAAATATCATTACTAATTTTCCAATCATTTTAATTTCATTTGCTATGTTAGTTACAGTTATACTTATACACATGGTGTAATTGTAAATTTTTAATATTTTAGGTTTATGAGAGCATCAAAGTAGATGGGCCTTTGTCAAGTGATGATATAGCTGAAGTCTGTGATGTCGTTGCCATATACGTTTGCAATAATTTGATGTAAACTATACTCTAGTGATAAATTTGCCATAAAACCGTGTTTTGTATTGTTGTCATTGTGTATCGATTTTGTGGTGTATGACTTGGTTCTTTTAAACTACGTATTTGATTTATTTTGCTAAATGTGAAGTTGTGTTCCAAGCAGGTTTTACCTTTTTGCAAAATATAAAATTTTGTATATTCAAAAAAAATTTAAATATTATTTGCTGCGGTCGTAAACCGCAACAATTAGAAAATTTTGATTTTTTTAAAAAATGGTATTTGCTGCGGTCGTCAACCGCAACAATAAGTGAAATTTCATTTTTTTAAAACTACCTATTTGTTGCGGTTCCGAACCGCAACAAATAACTTTCCACCCTATTTGAAGCGCTGCCAATTGCTGCGGTTCAGAACCGCCACAAATAGCCTAAAATTACCTCACCAAATAGTTTTTTTTCTAGTAGTGTTTGATGCATTTCTCACTTGAACCAATACACACACAAGAATATTCCTGTTCGGACGGTCCGAATAGGAGCCCCGTTCGGCCGCTGCCGTTTAGTGCGGTTCTAAGTGATTTTTTTGCTGAATTTTGTTTTGTATGTTCTTCATTAAGTCTAGTTTATCCACAATAAATTTCAGCTAAAATTCAACTGAGAAGGCATTCAAATGATATTTGGAAAATTATATGTAATTTTTTGAAACTGACGCCTGAAGGGAAGTCGAGAGAGTCTCTCTCTAGCCTCACGCTATTCTTCCCTCTCGAGCTCAGGCCGGCACCACTCACGGTGGCCGGCGGCGCCGGCGCCTCCGGGCTCCGGCGGGCTTCCGTTTCATTCTTTGAATTTTTTTGGAAACTTGTTACCACTTCCGTGGTGGTGGACTGCTTGGTGAATTCATGAAGCTTTTATTCTGTTCTTGGCTATCTATGGGTTTCATGAACTGGCCGGAAAGTGCAGAACCACCACCGATGACAGTTAGTAATGCCGGACATTGCTTTGAGAGGGTGGGCATGTGACGGAGGTGAACGGGTCTGGCATGGGGGTTTGGTGCTAGAAGGCTGGTACCTGGTTCTCTAATGGCTTTGACTTCGCCGGAAAAAACTATGTCATCACCGACGGCAGCTAGTAACCCCGGGTGCATTCTTTGAGATGGGGGGCGTGTGACGGTGGTGAACGGGCCTGGTTTTGGTGGCTTAGCGATGGATGGTTGGTCGTGGGGAACAAACTCGATTTTCAGTTTTGCTGAGTCCTTGGTAGCTTGAAGATGAGGCTCGCCGGAAAACACCAGCTCTGGCTCAATAACGGTTAGTACCCATGGCTTAATATTTGAGATGGGGGGGGGGGGGGGTGTTAAGGATGGCGAAAGGGTTGGGTTTTGCTCGGTTTTGGCGGTTTGAAGGTGGGTCTTGCTCTGAAAGTTTTGAGCTTTGGGTATTTGCGATTTGGGTGACTTTGGTTTGAGTAATTTAGGCCGGAGAAGACGACCGGGGAGACTGGTGCGATTACAGTGTTTCTCGGTTGGGTTTCTTTGGTTTTTGGATGGTTTCTGCGTTTCGTTTTTCCGCTGAAAGTGACCAGGAATCGCCGGTAATGACCTCTGGCTTGCTGGGATTGGAACCGCCTGCATCTACCTTTTTCCGGCTACTGTCAAGCCGCCTTCTAACACTTTCTGCCTTTGCCGTTTGGGGTCGCCGGAGTCAAACGGGGGTGGAGGGTGGACGGGGATCACCGGTTTGGCTTTATTACTCTTCCGTCTTGATACTTTGGCTTTGTCTCCTTCCTCCGGCCACCGGAAAGCCTGGTAGACGACGGAACCAGGTGGGGGGGGGGGTTTGGGGGTGGGGGTGGGGGTGGTGCGAACATACTACGAGCGAGCGTAGTCTTCTGGATTTTCCGTTGCTGATGCATTGGCCGGAGCTTCGCCGAAAGGTTGGTCGGAGTAGTCAACGGGGACCTGATTGGACCTGCACGTGATTGGACCGCTGACTTCCGCTCTGTCAATGTACTGTAGCGTCCTGTTTGAATTTTGAATTGGCCGCTTCTTCATGCGGCGCACCTGGAAGCGATGGAGGCTGTTTGAGTGTGGGCCGCAACCCTACTCTTGTGTTGGGCCGTCTTGTTCGGGCGCTGAGCTGGGCCTTGCACGCTGGAGAATTGCTGCGAAAACCTGGAGTCTTGGAATTTTGCTTGGGGCTGCTTGCCTTGCTGATGGGCTGGATGCAGAAGGGCTGCACGGGCCTTAACTGGCTCTTTAACCTGGAAGCTTGAATGTTTTTTTTTTTGCTGATGGACTCTACCAGGGATGGGCCTTTGTTGGCCCCGATCTGGTTTGGATGTTTTTGAGGAATCTTTGGACTTGGACGTTATTTTTGATACTAAGCCGGGGAACTGTCCCGTGCTAGTTTTTGGATTTTTTGTTGTGGTTGATTTTGTGCTACGTGCCGGGGCCTGTCCCGTGCCGTTTTTGACTTCGGAAAATCTCTCTCTCTCTCCCCTCACCGCGAGGCGGGGGGGGGGGGGGGGGGATACGTTAGATACTATTTTAGGTTAGCATGCTAGCTTAGATAGTTCTTTTGATTCTTTTTGATGCATTGTACTATGCTTTTTCTGGATATATATACTTACATTTTATCCAAAAATGGAAAATTATATGTATATTTGGCGCAGTTATCTTCCAAAAGTTATTTGACTCCCTTACATATTGAATTTTTAGCTGAAATTTGGTGTGGATAAACTAGATTAATGAAGAACATGCGCCAAAAACTTTCAGCAAAAAATACCACTGGGAACCGCCCAAAACGACGGAGGCCGAACAACGCTCCAGTCAGGGAATTCCTGACGGAAGATTACTCTACACACAATAATTTACTTAACTAATTTAGTTGTTGAATTTTAATCTGAAATTTTGTGGATCATTTCATGAATAACATTCGAACAAATTTTCATAATTTTTTTACCCGAAACCACCTCAAACAGCGGATTCTGCACAGCGATGTCGATACACACACACACACACACACACACACACACACACACACGCATATATATATATATATATATATATATATATATATATATATATATATATATATAGGGAGTGGTTCAGGTAAGAACGGACTCCCGGCCCATGAGAGAAATGAGAACAAATCTGGACCGTTAGATTGTATTATATGAAACTGAATTGTGTATTTGGTGAAATTGAAATGTGCATTTGATGATATTGAAATGTGCAGAATAAAATTTAAATTCAAGTGTGCATTAGATGAACGGAAATGTGCGGAATAAAAGGTACAAAAATTAACATCACGTCGTACTTTTTATTCTGCACATTTCAATTTCACATATTGCATATTTCAATTTCACCTAATGCACAATTCCGCTTCACATAATGCCATTGTATCATACCATTATGTGTGTTGCACATTTCAATTTCACCTAATGCACATTGAATTTGACTTAAAGCAAATCTAACGGTCCAGATTAATTCTCATTTTTCTCCTAAGATCATGTTCTTATTAGAACCAAAACCAAAACACACATGGGCGGACCGTAGTAGAGACCCAGGGGGGCTACCGCCCCCCCAACAACTTTTTTTTTAGTGTATATATATACGAAAAATGATTTTTGCTCTTCCAAAAAGTATTTTGAACCCCCCCAAAAATATTTTCGCCCCCCCAAAATACCTTTCCTGGGTCCGCCCCTGAAAACACACACACACACACACACACACACACACACACACACACATATATATATATATATATATATATATATAGGGGAGGGTTCTAGTGAGAACTCTCTTAAAATGAGACACTACAAGAATTCTGGAATTCAGTGGCGGAATTTAGTAGCGGAAACTAATCTGACGCTAATTAATGTCGGATATTAGAGGAGGAATGCAATTCTACCGGTGTTTAGTGGCGGATGAATCCGTCATTAATTTCCGCCAGTAAATATTGACGGAAATAATTTTGTCACTAAAATATGTCATAAAACTATAGAATAAAAAATTAATTTTCCTCACATCTCACTTTTATCAATTCACTTCACTAGCTCTAAATAAGAACTCAAGTTTAAAAATATCATTTTTTAAAGAATAATTTTTTTATATATATTTAATTAATTTATTATATGTGCATATATATTTTTAGATAATAAAAATATTTTGTTCTTTATCTGTTTCGTTTCAAAATATCTTTAAGAATAAGTTTTATTTAAAATCCAAATATAAGTGCATTACTTAGGGGGTGTTTGGATCTAATTCTTAAAACTGCTATCGCTCCTTCAGGGAGCAGAAGCAGAAGTTGGGGTGTTTGGGTGAAAATGCAGAAGTGATTCTGGTGCTCTAATTTACTTCTAGAATCAGTTTTTTAGAAGCTGGGGGGTACCAGCTTCTGAAAACTGATTCTGATTCTGCTTCTGCTTTAAAAAAAGAAGCAGAAGCAGAATCAGTTTCAAACACCCCCTTAAAAAGAAGATGATTCGTAGAAAATAGATAGAAAATTTCTTATTATGATGTTTTTGTTGTCTACTAGAATTAGTTTCAAGTCCCAGGTTGAAAAAGACTACACCAAACATAAATAGATGAGACATATCATATCAAACTTAAATAGATCAAATGTACTATCTTTAGAATTTTAGATAGCTATGAGATATACATAAACTAGACTTCTATCAAACCAGATCATATCATTCCAGACTATATCAGACCAACTTTAATTTATTTTAGGGCACATTTATCTTGCAAAACCGCATGTAATACTGGAGTCTAATTAACCTTCAAATCACATAATATGAACTCGTGAACTCCCTCAGTCCCCGAAAGAACTTTGATAACAAAAGAGCTGTATGATTGGCTAAAGGATCAAAAGAAGACGAATGAGCTTGAAAACGACGATCAGGATGACATTCTATCAATCGTTCAAATATATCTTTTTGTAGAAATATCCAACGTACACGATTCAAGTTCCATATGAAAGCCAAATTCAAGGACTACAAATCGTATGAAGACACCATTGTCAGAATCTGAGAGGAGAAAGGTGAAAACATACGAGGAAGTTAGATAAACGTTGTTGAGTTTTCAGAATGCGACCTTCCACCAT